AAGAATCGCTGGTTTGTGCCCGGGGCACCCCAATTCCATCCAGCTGTGAATAGGTTCCCAATAATATTTCTGAGGAAGTGAAGGCGGTTGATTGTAGTATCGGCCACACTGCCTCCTGGTGCACCTACAGGTCAGCAGCATGTAGTCCTATATTCAAACACTGCCCCAAACGGGTCGCCAAGCTTACGAGACACACATTCAACTAACTGAACTACCCAAAGTGCTATACGATTGGTTGATTACATAAATCAAATTGAGAACTATCAAGAAAACACTCAATTTAGCAGTGTATTTTAGTGTGCAGTTCTCACTCCTTTGTTGTTACAAATACAATTTATCACTACTACTATCATCACCCTCAAGTTTATATCCACGTTGATCATTTAACACATGTGATTTAATCCAATTTGTGAACTAACTAAATAATAGTGTGTAAGTTATATAATAATCTAATGCCAGTTCTTGACGTACATTCCGAATCTTTGACACCAATATTTCTTATTCCAGGTAATTAGCTAATTAAAACAAGGTAAATAAAAACGCCTGAGTAAAATGGCCACACAGGATTGATACGATGCAACAGCGCTGTTGCAGCTTTGCAATGTTACACCACCAGCGGCCAAGGTCACCTTAATGTGATCAACACTCATAGTTATGGCTCAGCTGTTGAGCTGTCAGTCATAAGTGCGCGACCTAAAAGAAAAAATACTTGCCGAGTACAATATTGGTATTGTTGATTACGTTAGTCGTTGCTGCCGTCCATCACCACTGGTGTGTCCGGACCCTCAAAGGCTCTAAGGTTATTTTTCTACTTTGGCGGTGTTTTGAGAACGCATTTAAGAGGCTCGTTTAGATACGAACATAAAAAGGTCAAATTTGCTGTTAGTTTAACTGATCTTGCAGCCAGAGGGAAAATCCCACGTCAGGGTTCTCATATATTCTAAATGACAATGTTTCCCTAACTGTGATAAGGAGAAGCCTCTAGAAATGTTTTCGATTACATTCTTTTATGTCGTACCTAGAGTGAGTCAGTCCTAGTCACAGCTCCGGTTAAGTGGGTGAAATAAGCGTACATTACTTCCTGGATTCTCAAGGTTAGCAATGTATTTTACACTTACGGGGTTATATAACGGGATTAAGATTGGCATGACACTAGTGTTTGGAACTTGTTTATGTAAAAAGGACGTTTATAGTACATTTGACGCCTACAGTCGGTTTGTGAGAACTTTGAGTTAGCACTTAATGTAAAAATGAGTTGTGGGTGTGGAGGAGCTATCGGGTGTATCTGCCCAACTTCCCCGATATTCTGTACATGATTAAGCTTAGGGGTTCACATACACACAGGTTAAAAAAAAGTATAATGCCAACTTTGAACTTCTCGTGACCCTGTACGTGCAGTAAAGAATTCGAACTTAAGAATTAGACCTTTCATGTCACCCCATGGCTTAAATAAGAACATAAGAAGAACATAAGAAAATAAGGAGTCTGCAATAGGCTGGTTGGCCTGTGCATGGCAGCTCCTGTCGAGAGTTACTACCACTCTCTATCATCCATGAATCTATCCAGCCTCCTTTTGAAACTTTCCAGAGTTCCCGCACTTACTACAAAGTTGCTAAGCTTGTTCCACTCGTCCACCACCCTATTTGTGAACCAGTTTCTTCCTATCTCCCTCCTAAACCTAAACTTATCCAACTTGAATCCGTTGCTCCGAGTTCTATCCTGCTCGGATATTATAAGAACTTTATCTATATCCCCTTTATTGATTCCTTTCACCCACTTAAATACTTCTATCATATCTCCCCGCACTCTTCGTCTTTCTAGGGAATGCAAGTTAAGTTTCTTTAACCTATCCTGATATGGAAGGTTTCTTAGTCCCGGAATCATTTTTGTCATTCTTCGCTGCACCGACTCTAGTGAATTTATATCCATTCTATAATAGGGGCACCAGAACTGAACCGCATAATCGAGGTGCGGCCTGACTAGCGCAAGATATAGTTGCAATAAGACCTCTGCACTCTTGTTACTTACACTTCTAGATATAAAACCCAATACTCTGTTTGCCTTATTTCGAACATTAACGCAGTTTTCTAGGCCGTAGGTCCGGGCTTACAAGTACCCCTAGGTCTCTTTCACAAGTCGACTTCTCTAGGTTGATGTTGTTAAGGCTGTATACATTATAAGTATTTGTTCTTCCAATATTAAGTACCCGACCAGGCGCCCGCATGTGAGCGTAACTGGGTCAGTTCTTTTATTGAGGAAGACTGCCCTACATACGCAGTAGACTCGCTAATCCCCGGACCTAACCTACTCCTGACGTAACCCAAGGTCTATTGACGTAACCTACCTGAAGCCTTACCACTCTTAACTTAGCCCTTACATAAGCATCGTGTATGGCGGCAGGACGGGTTAGAGAACACCATTATCAACCAGAGTTATATTTTTATTTATTTTTTATTACTATATAAAGGATTTTGTTTAAACTTTGGAAAAACATAACGATTGGATATATTTGTATATGAAATCCACACTTTAAAATTATATAATTATACAGGATTATTTAATGGGAAATAATAGCCCACCCGGGCACAGGTCATCGACCTTGGGGCGAAAAAAACGAGTAAAATTAGAAGGAAAAAAGCATGTTAATCATCACCACGAAGATCGCGGAAAACCATCATTTTTGAAGCGAGACAGAATGTAAGAGGATGGGAACAGAAGTTAAAAGGTTCCACAGTTTGGCTGTGTGAGGAAAGAAGGATGTACTATAACGGGTTATAGCGTGCCACACAGAAACGGTGGGCACCTCAGGCAACATATATATATATATATATATATATATATATATATATATATATATATATATATATATATATATATATATATATATATACTGTATTTCTGTGTGTGTGTGTCTTACACAATATTAAAACAATTCTTATAAATGTTTTGAAGCAGCACCCCCACGAATTAGAGTCACGAACCGCCACTGCTCGTTTATACAGTACTATATGCAGTGCAGTATAAGCATGACAGTTTTCAAGACCTTGAAACCTTTGTCACACTCGCGCGCCAACACCCATCCTCCACAGTTTGTGTTCGTGCCAAGTAAGACGCTGAGTTTACACCTACTGTATGTACCTCCATCCTGTGTTGTGATGCTCATATGGTTACATAGTTGTCTGTGATGTAATATATCGTCAATATTCAATTTTGGCGGCAAAATCTAAAGTTTATAAAGGGGAGGATCATCCAGGAGCTATGAAAATTAATAGAACCACGAGCCTGACCGTAGAATTCCAATTGTAGTCGGGATCAGTGTTAGACAAACTCATTAATATGTTGTGCAATCTTCGTCTAGCCTACAACAGTGAAAGTTAGAGTTTGTTGGTGTGACCTTGCATCTCGGATAATGTGTATAATTATCAGACGTTAAGGTTTAATTGTAATATTTGATATCCATACTGTATATGTGTTAAATATTTTTTAATGGTTTTTCATGCTCTGGTTTATTGCGTTGGTGGTAAATAATTTAAATAACGGTTTATCACAAAACACAAGAACATTTTAACCAGAAGACCCGCACCTACCCCTGTATTCAACATATATTTTATGCAGTATGTGGTTAATGACTGGTGTTCTGCTGTGTAGTTTAACTACCTCGCTTTTAGACACTTGCTTCTTTTGTACTTGTGTTTGTGATGATCTACAGTAGGCTCAGTGCCGGATTTAGACCTATGGAGGCCCATGGGCAGCCTCTTTGTGGAGGCCCCCCTCATTATAACTACCCAAGAGGGTGGGTTGGAGAGTGAAGCGAGTCTAAACATCTGGGGGTTCCGGGGGGCGCTGTAAGCCCCCCGGGAAAATGTTGAAATTTGAACACTTCTTTGGAGAATTTTGAAGCCATAAGCAGTTATATTGAGGAAATTAGAACACAGCCCCCTGATGGCATTCGTAATGGAAGTGATAATGAAAAACATATTTTTTTAATCTCAATTTCGTTATTCCATGTAGTTCATTTTTAATCAATATATGTTTGTGGAACTCTAAATATATTATTAGCAACACAAACAATAGCATTCATTAAAAATATACGGTTCATAGGAAAACCAGGTATTCATGAATTTCAAGGAGTAGCTAGCCTAATTTCTATCACGCTTCTTGCTGAACATAATTTTACGTGATGGAATAGATAAACGTGAATTTTAAAGAAAGAAAACAAACATAATCCAAATGAATAAACAAATAAATAAAATATTGTAATATGTGGAGGCCCCCAGATTGTGGAGGCCCCTGGGCAGCTGCCCACTTTGCCCACTCCTGAATCCGGCCCCGAGTAGGCTTATACCATTAGAATGTTTTGGTACACATCTTAACATCTTTATGATACCGTCGTCACATGGGAATTAATGAACGTGTAGCTAGCTAAGTATTGTATATAGTAGTACTGTACTGTCTCAGTTAACTTAAATTATTTCCTCATTCTATTGAAATAGTTGTTTAGTAAGTCTCGGTGTCAACAATGTAGTATAATTCCTTATATTTACTGATTTTTGGTGGTGTTTAGTCAGCCCAACTAGCTCCTTTCCTGACCTGACTGATTATATTTTTGTGCATAAATTTTTTTATTTTACAAACACGACTCGACGAACCCACTGATCAATTATTGGTCGCCTGTGATGTCCCATTTATATTATACTATCTAGGTGGTATGCACATTATGAAGTACAATAAATTGGCACTCAATCACTTGACTTGGGTGAAAGGTCAGATGCAGGTATGTGTGTACCCGAGACAGTCATTGCATAATACCTCCCAGGGCCCGCCTCACCCCTTCCCACTGAAACTCATCTTATTGACCACTGGTACAAGATGTTGCATTACATAGGTTTCTCGAAGGCTTTCTTTATGGAAGACTTTTATTGATCTTGTTATGTATTAACCCCTACATTTTAAAATAAAGGTGAACAGGTGAAAGTTATTGGCTTAGTGAGATGTCTTACCTGTTACGACGGCGCTTCTGAGGGTATGATTCTTCAGGTGCGACACCAGATTACTTGAAAGAACCCTCATCTTGTAGTTTGCCCACAGGAGATATCGCGCTGGGTGGTTATACAGTCCGCACACCGTAAACACTACAGCGCTTCTGTCCTTAAGCTTCAACTTTAGTAAGCCTTGACCGATACCAACTAGTGTATTCTTTCTTCTTATTTCTCGGTTTTAAATTAATACACGATCGAATGTACCTTTTTACTTACACATTACTGTTATCAAATTCATATTGGTAATGTGAAAAAATACGTTTCCTTAGTTTCCAAGTGAGAAATAATAGCAGCAATCCCTTGTCTGGCAATGCTTGGGGCGCCTGCGTTGAGGGACCTATCGGTGTCTCGTATTATTGTTCATGGTCACGTTTCACATTATTTCACTCGTCTGGGAGGCACGATACGAATGTTTAGTACTTTGAAGATATTCTCCAGAGTGACCATAAATATATGCATCATTGCAGTCTTGTAAAACACTGAGGAGGAGTCAAACCTGGATGAGGGGGAGAAAGCGGCATTGCTCTGCAGTTTGTGCGACACTGTACCAGAGTTGAGTTTGACGATGCACCCTAGATTCACCTAAAATTACCTGTACTGTACCATGTATAGCTTTGATGATTTAGTACTATAATATTAGGTTTGCTTTTAAGTATTGTTGACCACAACCCAACTAACGATTGGAATAAGTAAAAATTTAACTTCTCATAGTCAGTGATTGTTTAGGTATTATTAGCAACGGAAATCACATTTTAAACGTTTTCAGACCTTTCCGGGTCTTACACTTTTCGTTCATACATTAACGTCGTAGTATATTAGAAAGATTATTAACTTGAGGTTGTATCGTATGAAAATGAGACTGCAGTATGAGAAACATTCAGTATTGCAGACAATTGAAGTATATTATACGTGACATTACACACAACCGGGACTGAAGCGTTTGATAGTGTACTGACCTAGTGGTTCCCTCAAGTTCCGTCACAACATCCCCAAATATGGCGTCTATACAGTAAAGAGCTGAGCCTCTACTTAAAACTTTTCCTTTATCACCATTTAGGAGAAGAATAACGCGATTTTTTTCGATCTGAACCCAAGTTAAGTGATGGTTTTAGACCCGGATCTGGCTTACAATTTATGTATTGCCTGTAAGCAAAATATAACGATTTATTACAGGTGAAATGAATCAACCTAGATGTAGCCTAACCAAACTTAATGTTACTTTTCGAATTTAGGGAAGATATGGTTTATATATTATTATGCATTACACTGTTCCTCCCTGCTTATGAAGGTTATTTATCACGCCAAGAGCCTGTTATATGTTGCCCCCCCCCCCCTTTGCATCGATAAACAAATAGGCAGACGAGAGCTTGGACCAGAGACCGTGTGTGTTCTGTTCCTTGTAACCACGGTTATCAGCCTCTTGTTTATGAAAAGATATTTATAATGCCAATATGTTAGGTTCTTCTCGTTTCAACACTCATACGGCCTTTGTGTTGACTAATTTAGAAACATCATTGCTTATCCTTGGTGCCGAGTCATCGTTAACCCTGGAAACACTTGTTTTTTTATAATATTTCCCCGTGTTATTGGTACTGAAGTGGTGTTATCGGGGTACTTTTAGTGAGACACGTTCTAGAAGTTTACTTTAATATCTCTCTCTCGTTTTACACAATTCGACATGTGAATCCATCCAATATTGTTTGTTTGATTAAGTGAAGTTAAAACATGTTAGTGGAAAGTGTGTGTGTGTGTGTTAAACTGTCCAGATGGTGGGTGACTGTGAAGATTCAGCCTCGATTTACAGGCTGAGTTCTCCTCCCCTTTCCCCTACGTCATTCCTCCCTTATACTCTTGTTATGCTTTCCCTCTCCTCCCCTCACCCTACTCCCTCCTCCAATCTCCCCTCCCCCCTCACGCTTACCTCCTTCCCCCGTTTTCTTTACCTCCTCCTCTCACTCCATTCCTCCTTTCTATTCTTATACATTTAGCTCTTCTTTCCCCTCACTCCACTTCCTCTTACTCTCCTCCTCACTACTCCGGCTTCCTCTCTTTGCTCCGACATGTAACGCCTCCATGTTTTGCTGTCCCCTTCCTTTTTCCTCCCCTAATTCCTCCAAGTCCAGTCCACCTCTTTTCTCCTTCCTCTCTCTCTTTTACATTTCTCCCTTATCCCTAATACATTCTCCTCCCCCTCTCCCTTATTTTCATCCCCCCTTTATCACTCATCGCCACACTTCATTTCCCTTACACTTATCTCATGACTCCCACCCCCAGTTACCACCTGTTTGGTCCAGTCACCACTATCTCCGGGTGTTTGTGTGGAAATATACTGTAACTCGTACGTTGAATTTTACCTAAGAACAGACACAATATGGACTGAAACCTCTCATTGGTATTGTGTATCGTCTTCCTTGTGACTGAGTGAAGTTGTCTTGGCCGGTGATGTCTTGTTAATAATAATATAATATTCAGTAAAAATAACGTAAAATTGTTATATAGGTTTACAATTTGATAATCTTACATATGACTGGCGGTGATGAGGGAGGGGCGGATGGTGGTTCTGCAGGAGGGCATTTTTTCATACGATCATGTGAAGTATTGTGTTTATATTGTAAACATATCGTAGCAGGTAAGGGGTGATTTGTGGGAGGCAGAGCCATATTAAGGGGGGGGGTAGGTGGTTGGTCAAAGAAAACGAGGCTACCCGGTGCAGACTTGTGAATGGGGGACTACTGGGAAGCTTATCACAGATATGCATTATAAATGGCTCACGTATTGTATCTGGTTCTACGTAACGATATAACGGAACTTGAGTCTAACATAGGGATTACAGCACCCACGTACCACTGAATGGTTTTTAACTTGTTTACATATACATAAATAATATACTGTAGTGCATTTGTTTATTATACATGACAGAGGACACCGGCAGTATACTAATATAAGAGTGACTTGTGCACTACTAAGAAGACAACACCAAGGAGCACGGTGTATACTGTACAGTAGCCTACATATGATCGTACCGGGGGAATACAGCGTCGTAGTTGTGGGCGTGGAACCGTGGTTTACCCTGTTTGTCGGTATTGCACACAATTGAAGTATATTATACGTGACATTACACACAACCGGGACGGAAGCGTTTGATAGTGTACTGACCTAGTGACGCGAGATCGAGGTCAGGCAAAAGACTCACCACTCCTCTTGCTTCTCACCGAAAACTACTAAACCAGTGGTGGCCAACCTGCAGCCCATCAGGCTTTCGGGTGCAGCTCACGACACGTAATGTTTGTTCACACATGAAAGATTCATACAAAAAGCGGCGTTCATTTAGCCATTTGTTGAATGTTTGGGAATTATCATGAATGATTGTCATTTGGGGAGAGTTATCCTAACAAATAATTTATATTAATATTTTTGATAAATTTGATAATTTAACTTAAGATAATTAGGTTCACATACATTTGACCCGTGTTATTATTATTATTATTATTATTATTATTATTATCATTATCATTATTATTATTATTATTATATAGGTATAGCAACACTATCTGGTCCACGCCTCCGACTTACCAGTATGACTCTTTATGTAAGACAGTGTACCGGTAAGTGTTGTACCACCGGTGGTCGTGGAAGGTTGACGTGTAGTGACACCTCCCACACACCTGGGCGGTGTATGAAATGTACCCACAACCTGTGTCTTTTGTTTTTATTTGAAGTTGATATATGTATGGATGATAATTTTCTGTAACTCATTATGAAACATGCTGTATTTAATGTATGTATGTATGTATGTATTTATGTATGTATGCGTATTCCTGGGGCAATGGTTAGTGCGCATGACAAAGTTTAGTCTTGAGATGGAGGGTCACAGAAGCGGCACACTGCTGCCCATCACTGGTCTGGATAGATGGTTAAAAAAAAAAATTATATATATATATATATATATATATATCGATAAAATCACACGGGAAAAAAGGAAACAACGGAGCACCTTAGCTTTCGTCTTTATTCAAGACCAGTAGAACTTATAGAAGACAAAAAGATTAGCTTTGTTAATGTTCGAAAAACATTAACATACATGATGCTCTTTCATTAACTGTACGGTCTCTAATTTTTGACTGGATAAGTCCAAAAGTTGAAAATAATCATTCAGTTCCTGCCGAGGAAGCAACAACAGTATGTAACTGTGCAGGCAGGCACCATCATACAGTCTTTCAAATCTGAATTTTTTTGGGGGGCTTTGGGACAGGTCCAGTACAAGTCATGTCACAATGGGCAGGAACAAATTCTGAATTGCTCCTGTGTTTTGTGACCTTGTGTATATTACTGTATGTTATCTATATGATTTTAATCATGTCAGCCCCGGGATCAAGGGCACGGATAATTGTGTAATGGACACCAGCCGCCTTGTACCAGGCAAGTGAGAGGAAGCTAGCTGGTGTACCGTCAACAGTAAAACACTCAAGGTCGCACACACGAGGAAACAAGAATGCTTGTACAGTAGATAAAACAAATATCTGTGCAGGTGGGGGTCGATATGCTCCCAAATTATACGTGTGACTAGTGACAGCCCTCACATACCAAAATCCATCGTCCATGGTCTCATATTGTTTCCCACAAAGTATGCACAGATAGTTGTTTTAGCTACTATGCAAGTAAAACCAATACAAAAATAATAAAATATTTACAGACTCTCATATACTTTACGGTATGTACATACGTGCTGTATACAAACAAGCAAATAAACAAACACAAACTTATTAAATCGCGAAGACACACACACACATTCGGAAATCATAGTGTTCAGGTAACGTCATGCCAAGCGTCGGGAGCATGTGAAGTTGTAAGCGGTTCAAAGGTACTAACGTCAGCCCAAGAATTAAAAGCTGTCGGGAATATAGGCACATTAATATTAGTCGCGATTATTCAAAATGGCTTTGGAAATTGGTAGGAAGCTCTGGGGAAGGCAGAGAATGGGATGGATGGACGAGTTATATTAAAAGCTGGGTTCCAGAGATGCAGAAAACTACTGAATCAGATATTCAAAGTCGCTAGTTTTTAACACGAGGATGGCTCTTTGATCGATTGCAAAAGACAAGCTATTAGAAAAC